TGTTATGTATTGCATTTAATTGTTTTTAAGTGTTCAGTTTAGTAACATTAAGTCGCAACCATTACCACTATCTAGCTCCAGAATTTCTGTTTTCCTAAATTGAAGCTCTTTACCCATTAAACATCAGCACCTCATTCCCTCACCTCCCTCCGGTCCCCAGTAATTACCATTTTACTTTTCTGTCTCTATATACTTGGTTATTGTAGATACCTTATATAAGTGGAATCATACACTATTTCTTCTTTTGTGTCTGGATTATTTCATTAACATAAATGTCCTCAAGGTTTATTCATGTTTTAGCATGTATCGATATTTTATCCCTTTTCAAGGCTGAGTAATATTCCATTGTTATCTTTACTGCGTTTTACTCACCCATTCATCTGTCAATGGGAGGTTGTTTAGGTTGTTTCTACCTTTGAACTACTGTGAATGTTGCTTCTTTGAACATGGGTGGGCAGGAATCTGTTTGAGTCCCCACTTTCAGTTCTGTGACTATGCCCAGAAGTAGATTTGCTGGATCTTACGGTGGCTCTGTTTAATACTGGGAGGACCTGCCATCTTGTTTTCTGTAGCACCTTTTCCCAGGAAGCTTCTGCACTCTTGAGATCCATCCCATTTTCTCTCAACAGCCAACATGGAGGGCATTGTCACCATCATGGGCCTGAAGCCCGAGACAACCTACACAGTCCGACTGGCAGCCCTCAATGGCAAGGGGTTAGGCGAGATCAGTGTGGCCTCCGAATTCAAGACACAGCCAGTCCGTAAGTAAAGCCAGCTTCCCAGCCTTTGCCTTATACCCACCCTCTTCTGTCTGGGGACAGCCAGGGACTCTGAGCTGGCCCTGACTCTGCTCGTGGCAGCTCCATCTCCTAGTTCTCTGGCTCTCAGGGATGGCTGACACACACACCTTCATTCTGTCTTGCTCAGAGGCATTGGGGTCACTGTCCTAATAGCTGGTCTGGCGAGTTGGGCTGTCGGGTGGGGGATACACACCACCAGAACAGTTTTGCCAAGAGTGGGAAGAAACCCCAGGGAGGGGTGGGGTGAGAGATTGGCTTCTTGACACAGGCCACAGAGGCCCTAAGCATTTGTAACTTGAAGGAAGAATGCAGACAGTAACAGTTTACATGATTCATGGTGGGATTTTTGATGCAGCAGAGATACTAAGTCATACAGAAATGGAGACTGATATAGGATAAATGAGCAAGAGCAAACCTCAACCAAGACAGAGGGAAAAAGATGGCCATGGCCTTGGACTTTTCCACTCTTCATGTTCTCCCTACCTCACAGGCTCTTTCAAGAGAGCTGCTTCCCCCAGATTCTTCCCAGGGCTGCATCTCTGTTTCCCTCCACCATCCCCTTGCCTCCAGCCCTACCTGCTTGGCTTTATTCCTGCTTCCCATAGTAGCCAGGCTCTGGGTGAGCTTTGCTCTGGCTGTGTCCCTCTGCAGACCAGAGCTGCTGCTCTGGGAGGCTCAGGAGTGTGGCCAGCAGGACAATATGCTCCAGAATCCACTCATGAGTAGCCACAGGGCTCTCTGTGCATCCATCTCCTGGCTCCTGTATTTAATGCACATGGGAGAATCCTTTGCTGTCTTGTCTTAAGAGCCAGGACCCTGCAAAGTAACCCCATTGCCTTTTCCCAAAAGTAGAGAAGTCCGTCTCATCTTCCTTCTACAGGGATTGCTTCTTTCTGGATTTGAAGTAATTTGATAATTTGAGTTTCCAGCTCCAACTCTGCGGATTCTGTTCATTTCTTTTACATCTTATTTTTTTTCCCTTGGGTCTGTCTCTTGGCTTTTCTTTTCGTCTGTGTTCCATCCATGGGAAATGCAGATAGCCCTCCTCCACGTAAGTGCCTCTTCATACCTCATTACCTGTTTCCATAGCATTAACATCTGCTAGTCCTAGTTCTTAATTTAGTTTTGGTGCCTTTTTTGTCCTCTAGAGGCTGAAGTAGAGGACACCGTCTGGGCCCTAACCACACTGACCTTAGTCTAGCTGTACCCTCGTTAACATCTGTAGGTTACTTGAAGAGGCTAACACTCTGTTTTAGAGCATGCAACTTCTGTGTCTTTGGAAATTGTGTTTACTTATTAATTTTTGTGTGTGATGATTACCCTTGCCCTTTGGCAAAGATAATGTTTGCTGAGCCACGCATGGTGAAAGTCTGCAGATGGTCCCTGAATAACATGCCATCGCAGCACCTAACCTTAGCCAGTACGTCAGAGAAGTGACCACAGCCTCAGCCAGCCACTATTCAGCATCCCTTCGAGGCAAAAAGAACTTGGGTTTTCACATTTGCCTTTAGGAAACCAAAGAATGGAGTTCAACTGATTCCTTGCTTTTCTGTCAGTTGGTGAGGATGTAAGGATTGGTTAAGGACCCTCCACACAATAACTGCAGTTCTATCAGTGTGGCATGAACTTTGTCCTCAGGAAGCTATTGTGGGTCAAACCCACAGTTCTCAGCTGTGTTTGTTAGCATTGGGTTACTTGTAATGTGTATTTCTGGGTTTGGAAAAGACCGAGCCCCTGTCCTAGTAATTCTCCTGCCTAGAAATAGACAGAGGGTGATTTTTCACAGGAAGGACAATCAGATTGTGTAAACTGTAAATGCAGGACATGGAGGACAAGGATAACAGTGTGCTGGGAGTAGACCTCTGGTCTGACGCCTTTGGCCTTTGTAGATATCTCCAGTCTTCACTTTGCTGTGATGTAGCTCTTTCTTCTTAGTCTGAGCTCAGCCAGGAATGGTAGGAGGCAGGCATTACTCAGACAGACCCAGGGTATTTAGGAATTTAGAAAAGAAGAGGTATTTAGGAAGCTGTGTGCTCATTTCATAAAAAAGCTGTTGGCTCCAGAAAGACACTCAGGGTAATTTATTTTAAAAATTATTCACAAATATTGCAGCAACAGCAAAAACTTATGTAGCTAAGTGTGATGTTAAGAGTTTTTGAACAAGTGCTAAATCCACAGTCTCAGCTGAGCCGGAGTTGGAATGCACCATCTTGGGTGGGCCCCAGGGTGGCCAATGGAGTTATCAGGTAGGACTAATGACAGGCTGCTCTGGGCTGCCAGCTTGCCTCAAGGGAGTTCATGAGAAGCCATCTGGATGGGAGAAGAACTTCTTCCTAGGTCCTCCCCCACTCCACTGGTCCTTTAACTGAGTCTTCGAGGTTCTTCTTTTCTAGATGTGATCAATAAACGAGTGCTAGCTTTGTTATTTAAAGACAGGGAGGCTGGGATGCTGTAGAGTCCCTCACCAGGGACTGGAGCTTTAGTATTGAATCAGAGTAACTGGGTCTGGGATTCCAAAGGCCACATTGATTTTCATTCATTGCCAGCTTAGGCCTGATAAAAATGAGACTTTTGTAATAGCAAAGGCTGTGCTTTAAAGTTAGTGTTTTAAGTTAAATGTTTAATTAAAATGCTCAATTTTAGGGTTGCTTTTTAATTTTTTAAAAATAACCTTATCTCAACCTTATCATTTGTTGTCTAGTAGTATAAAAGTAGCTAACTAATCAAGATTCCAAGAAGCCCTTTGGAGGATGGTAGCATCATTTCTCCATTTTGAGTAGATCATGAATAATACAATAGCAGTGTCACATAAGTCAGTTTTTCTAAATGATATAATAAAGTCATAATTTAAAGACTAAGAAAACAAACTTCCAGATAAGTAGAACAGAGGCCTAGTCTTAAAATATAGTGCACCTGTGTCAAGAACTTAGGCCTGACAAGGTGGTGATCATATGGGAACATCATACTTGCACCAAAGACTTTTGTACAGTCTTTCTTTGCACCCTCATGTGCTTCCCAGAATTGCTAACACGCGGACCTAGTCCAGGAAACAGCCTGCCGCCCTTAGGCCTGTCCTAGAAAAGGATACCATTGACAGATCAATGCCAGCATTCACCACTACTGTGACAAATGCACTTTTTGGTACTAGAGAGTGAGGACAAGTCTTAGGAAGGACTTTCTCTGAATTTTCAGCACCACTCCTTCAAAGACACTAAGGTTGCCTGAGCTCAGGCAAACAGGCTCATCCATCAGGTTAGCTGTCTGTTTTCATAAGTTTAAGAGCCAATAGATTGGTTTCCACCACTGGCTCATCGTACCCACTGACAGCGCACTCCTATCCTAAAGGACTTTTGGAGAGCAGAACTGTGCTGCTCCTATAACAGCATAGTCAGGCCCCAAGTGCACTCTCAACCTCAGGGAAGAGAAGGCATAGAGCCAGCAGGGGCCAGCATGCTTAACAGAGAAGTATTGGCTGCCAGACTCTTGGATTGGGAGGTGTTAGTTGAGTCTACTGATTTAGCCTTATCAGTGAGAGGTCTCAGTAATGACTCCTTAATAGACTTCTCCATGTTCAGCGCATGGATATATGAAAGCCAGATATGAGCAAGGGACACTTACGAAAGCCACAATTACTGAACATCTCTGTTTCTATACTTCCAGATAGAAGGTATGGCTTTCTTGTGTAGAAATGCCAGTGTACAGTGCACAGATGTGTGTGATGGTAATGAGTAAGTTGTGACTCTGGACAAATAAAAAATCTAACCAAGGAAAATGTCCCTGTTTCATGTATTTTTAAGACAACTGCCTGCCGGGTGTCAGGATACTCAGGCAGAAAGCTCATGACTTCTGTTAGCCTGGGGCAGGGGGCAGCTTCCCTGTCAGAACTATTTACAATGTCTTATGCACTTTTCTTCTCCATCACTGAGCCACAAGCTATAGAATTTCATTGCCTGACTATTACTTAATCTGTTTCTATTCCATGAAGCAGAATACTATAGACCATCTCTTGCAAGGTCTAGAGAGCACATAGGAGTCTGTACTTCTTAAAAAGTGTCTTGAGGTTTTTCTTTTCATATGTTGTCCTCTAGGTGGCATATGCAAGTGTATGTTAAATGTATTATATGTGCTTCAAGCACATAAAATGCCATTCCTTTGCCATAGTAATACTGACGTAATCTGAACTAAAAAAATAAAAGAGACAGAAGGAGAAATACACTTTTCCCTGAATTGACCTGGCCATCTAATCATAAGTTAACCTGTCTTGCTCTGATTTCAGGACAGTGTACCTAACATTTAAATCAGATGCCCTCAACTAGAAGGGAATGGGGGACCAAACCATGAGCAATAAGGCAATGCTGGCAACATGTTGATGCTTTTCCAAATTTTTAACTAGCTCCCAAAAAGATCTTCGTCTTGTGATTATTGAAGGGACAACTTCTGAGTATTTACCAATGAAAAACTAAAAATCCTTCAGTGTTTCACGTCCTGAGTGCACAATTTCTAACCATCCACCACATAGAAAATGGCTTAATGATATTTTTTAGCCTGCATCTCTTCACCCTTCCCTTTCTCTGGAGGAGCAGAGATAACTGAACATTATTGGCATCACTCTGCCATAGCAGCATCCACATAGTCATTTTCTGTAGGAAGTTTTCTGGGGGCAGCAGTGTTTTTAGTATCATCTGTATGACAAATGGTCATGAACCTCACCATGTCTTTAAGTAGGACAGTCTATTTCCGATTCATTCAGTTACTAAAATTAGAGAGTGAGGCCTGCCCCTTTGCAGCTGTGCCATGTATCTGGAAATACGTGCCTCTATGGAAATATGTATATAGGATGTGACATGATAAGCCAGTCTTTTTGCCCACTAACTACTTACCTTTGCTGAGGTCTAGGTTCCCTTCTCTTCTGTCCTTCTGATCTTGTAGAGACAGCTGGTACTGCCGAATTGTCTATTTGTTTTCAGCCAGGGTTTGAGGCTTCTGCAGCTGCTCCTGGCCCAGTCTTTCACCTGAACAGCAGGGTTTGGCATGTGCTCAGCCTTCTGGTTAAAAGTTTAGAGAGCTCTGCTGCCGGCTAGTCTGCTGGCCACCTGTTCCATGCATGGTGTTTTACTTCCCAACCTTAACTCTCTACAGCTCCTCATACTGACACCCCAAGATGGGCACTTCAGTTTTTCACTCAGTATCTGTGTGCCTCCACAATCTGTTCCCCTTCCCTTTTTTGTTTTACCTTTATTTTTCTTTCTTTAGCAGCTCCTGCTAGCTCTTCTACCCTTGCTCCATTGTCTTCACCAGCTAGTGAGTATCATTTTCTTCATCCATCTCTCTGCAGGTTGCTTTCCACCAGCCAGTTTGTCTGCCTAATGTTGTCTCTTTCAGCAGATGATAGTTCAGCTCAGATGGTGAAAAACCACACCAGGCATTAGAGAATCAAATAAAGAGACAGAGGTGCAGAGCTTCTCAAATTCAAGGGAGAAAAAAGAGAGCATTGCTCTGGATAGGAAACCATGCAGACAGATTCCCCGAGGCTGCCACGGCTGGCTCTACCCTCAGGATTTCCGGTGGTCTGGACCAAAGATGATATTTGGAAAAGCCAAAGAAATTTACTAAGAAAAATATATGCTCTACAGGGTCATACAAAATGCTTTGAGGTGTTGGGTTCTTACCCTTTTTAATTTTAATTTTAGTTGGCACAGTTAGACTCCAGCACTGAGATCAGATAGTGAGACCTATAGCTCTCACTTTATCCATAAATGCATACATATCTCATAAATATTTGTGAGAAAATAAAGTGTCTGCTTACAGATGTGCCTGGCAGTAGGCATTTAGGCAAACTACTTAACCCTTTTCTCTAAAATAGAATAAGCATTCCACCCACTCTCTTATAACAGCTTTTATCAAGGTGACCTTTGCTCACTTCAGATGTGTACCAGTGATCCACTAGCAATGTTGACTGGTCAGTCTCAGGCTTTGTCATCCGTGCTGTCCCTGGCTCAGTGCCAGCCATTTCAATTTGCTGCTGTGGTCCCTTCATAGGTAGAGAAGGCTCCAGGCCTTCTGCTTTCTGGAGTTTTGAACCTTAGTTTCTAGGTGGAAGAAGATGGACAGCTGCTGAGCAAGCACAAGATGCAACACCAGTCCTGGCTTAGAGCAGCACAAAGTAGCAGGTGTGCAGGGAGGGGAGCCCTGCCCATTTGGTTTTATCTGTTCTTGTACAGCAGAAGCCATTTTGGTATGAGCTCAGCCTCAGGAGAAGACTCAAGCCCCAAGGCCAGAAACTGCCTTTTACCATCTTTTTGACTCAGAAACATGCCCACCACTCCACACATGCCATTCCAGGCAACACCAGAAAGAGTTCAGCTTTGGAACCAGGCTGACCTGGGATCAGATATCCCAGCTCTGCTACTTCTGCCTACAGCTCTGTGACTTCTGATGAGTCACTCAGCTTTCCTGTTAGGTTTCTCATCTCTAAAATAAAGGACACATTACACTTACCTTGTAGATATTTGTGAAAAATTAGAAATTAAACATTTAAAAGACAAAAGCACAGTGCCCAGCATATAGCAGCTGGGATAAATAGTAAGAATAAATGGTTATGTTATTTCTTGCTGCATGAGAGTCATTTGTCAGCAAAACCTCTGACAATGTATCTAAATATTTATATTAATATTGATACACCAGGGACCAAAGGAATGAGAGATACTTCCTTCATCATCTCTGTCTTTTCTTTATAGTGATGCCTATTTTCAAGAGATATACAAACATATGTACAATATATACATACCAAATTATGAATTTATCTATATTCTCTCCTTCACCTTTATGTGCCTTTTCTGTCCATGTTTCCATAGCAACCTGGCCTTTTCCTGCCCTTACAGCCACAGAACTGTCTAGTGAGTACCCGAGCTGAGCTGCTCTCAGCCCCACCTCTGATTCTGCTTGCTATAGAGCCAACTTCAGGGTTACAGCACTGCCTGATGTGTCTCTTTTTATTAAAAGCAACAGTTGTGAATGCACGGAGGCTCCTGGCTTAGAATGGTTTCCTAAGCATGCTGTTTGCTTGGCCAAGAAAGCAAACCAAGCATCCCCAAAAGAAAGAGGATAATTATTTGGAGAATGCTTTGATAAGGAGGCCTTTCCAAACTGACTTTCACATTAAAAATAGAAAAAGATTAGGGAAATGCTGAGGAGACAAAGAAGAGCAGTTCCTTCTTAGCTGTCCCTCACTCTGAAACACACACACACACACACACACACGCACACACACACACGCACAGCAAGGGAAGAAGCAGGAAGAAATAGCTGCCTGGGGAAAGGTGGAGGGTGTGCAGGAAGGAGGGAGTCTCTGCCTTCTGGCGCACTCCTGCCTTTGTCTCACCATGCACAGAGCACACACATGCAGAAGGCCAAGCTCCTGCAGGCTCTTTTCACGATTCCTTCTCTGTGCTAGAAAACTGATAGACCAAAGAACCCTAACCCAGACTCACTCTGAGTTGAAAGTCCAAATGACAGTGCTGGAATTCAGCTCTTAACAACAGATTCAAGCATCAGACTGAACTGCCTTTTGCCATCGTGGAAAATATGGTGCTGAATCACCACCATGACAGTTTCCAAGCTGATCTTTGTGATGCTCTTACAAAGTATGGTGTGTGTTGAGGACTTAAGGCTCCCAACCAAGGAGTAAGAATGTGTGTGTGCGTGCTTACTGTGTTCAAACACCAAAGCTGTACAGGGGTTTCAGGTTTTATAATATTTCTGGGTGCACAGAAAAAACAACATATATCCCATCAAGCAATAATCAGGGTGAGCACACACACACACGCACAGCAAGGGAAGAAGCAGGAAGAAATAGCTGCCTGGGGAAAGGTGGAGGGTGTGCAGGAAGGAGGGAGTCTCTGCCTTCTGGCGCACTCCTGCCTTTGTCTCACCATGCACAGAGCACACACATGCAGAAGGCCAAGCTCCTGCAGGCTCTTTTCACGATTCCTTCTCTGTGCTAGAAAACTGATAGACCAAAGAACCCTAACCCAGACTCACTCTGAGTTGAAAGTCCAAATGACAGTGCTGGAATTCAGCTCTTAACAACAGATTCAAGCATCAGACTGAACTGCCTTTTGCCATCGTGGAAAATATGGTGCTGAATCACCACCATGACAGTTTCCAAGCTGATCTTTGTGATGCTCTTACAAAGTATGGTGTGTGTTGAGGACTTAAGGCTCCCAACCAAGGAGTAAGAATGTGTGTGTGCGTGCTTACTGTGTTCAAACACCAAAGCTGTACAGGGGTTTCAGGTTTTATAATATTTCTGGGTGCACAGAAAAAACAACATATATCCCATCAAGCAATAATCAGGGTGAGAAGGCAGAACACAGATATGTAAAATATAGCTCCCACTCCCTGGGCCAAGGCTTCTGATACATAATTAAATAGAGAAGGAGAGTTTCCTGGTTCGATGTGTTGCATAAAATGGTTCTTTTTCTCCTGCAGAACACAGCTAAGAGTTTGCTTTCTTGGTGTTTCCTTCGTGTATGTGCTGCAATGAATTTTAATTCTTGATGCTTTTGAGGTTTCATTTTGTCAGCACAGCTAGTGACAATGAGCTGTACTCACATAAGTTTAATATAGATGATGGGGTTTTTTGTCGTTGATTTTGTGGGGGCTTTTTGTGGGGGCTTTTTGCATTTAGAAAAGGAATGCAGCTAACAGCACTTTTTCTTCTATAGTGTCCGTCCTGTCCTTTTTTCAGCCTGGGGCAGTGTATGTCTCCACACAGTAGGAGAAATCTACATGATGCATTCACACAGCTGCATTATGTTTAAGGTGTCTCTGTATAGCTTGGCCTTCTGTGTCAGTGAAACAGAATCTTGGTTGCAGATTTTTCTTGAAGGAAGAGTGAAGTGTTTTTCCCCTGACATGTGCTTAATTTTTAAATATCAGACATTTCTGCCCGTAGACAAGTGCTTAGTTGTGTTATCCAAAAGAAGAAATTTTCAGTCTGTTTAATTTTGAACCACTTGACTAATGTCACCAATTATAGGTCCTAGTGGATAGCAAAATAAAGGAGAGGCATGTCACAGTTGGGCAGCCGCCTACGTTTAACACGAACATATTCTAGTACATGGGAACTGCAGTGGGACTACTAGCAAGGTAGATATGAACATGAAAAAAATACATCAACCATCAATCACTGGTTTCAAAAATAAATATATCTCCTAGTTTTGCCTGTCTTTGTTAATCTATTTAGGAGTGGATAAAGATATTCTAAATAAAACCAAAATATAAATTGCTCGATTGTATATATTCCCTGCAGGGCATCATGTCAGGCAATCAGAAGCATACATTCTGTTAGCTCACGGTGGCAAGGGAATATGTAATTTGGCTAAAGCATTTTTGTCTATTTTTAATCAGCAGGGTTCTTTGGACAGACAGGTATTTTCATCACCCTTCTTAGCCTGAACTGGCAATAGCCAGAATTTCCCCAGGTCTATGAAAATTAGAGTGGGAAACTCCAAAATGACTTTTCAGAAATTAATATCATTCAGTCCCAAATTGAAATGTAGAGTACATATAAGACCAATAGAAATGTAGATGAATCCAAAGAAAGCTGTTTTCCACGTTGTAAATCTCAAATCCATTTCTTATCAGTGCAGCCACATGTCTGAAGATAAAACTTCATCCAGTCAAATACAGTCAAGCATCTGTTTAAAGTCAGACCCTCTCTGCTCATTGGGCCAGCAGTTCAATGTCTACAGTTTTGTGGCAACAGAGCTATTGTCTCAACTGACAGAACAGAAACTATTCTCCAATCTGCACTGACTTTGTCCTATATGTGTGTCTTGACTTTGGGGAGTGTCATTTGGCGTTGAGAGTATTGTGGATATGCAAATAAGAAAGTAAAATAAGACCCTCAAGGCCACCATCTCTGGCCTGCACCCACCCACCCCAATTTAGCTGTTCCTTATCCTTGTTTCACCAGTGGAAATATGAATTGCCTTTTCTTAATTTAATAAAATCTTTTGTTTTTCCAGGGCTCACAGTCTTTTCCTTTCCAATCTTGGGACTTTTCCTTGATTATTCATGATCTGTTTTACTGCCTTAATTTCCCAAGGATGCTGAGACATTTCTGGAATCTATGAATAATAACTTGCTTTTTTTCTTTTCCTTTAACAGTCTCCTGGATTGACTTTGACATCTGGGTCCTGACAGAAACACCTCCCCATTTCCAAACAAGTGTTCATGCTCCTTGATGTGATATTAATATGCAGTGTTGCAGCTATATCTAATGCTTATTGGTGTTGTTAACCAAGTGCTCTTTATGATTTATTATTCTTCTATTTCTGGGCAGTTTTACTGTCCTCCCAATGTTTCTTATATATGCTGCTAATTTAATTTGATTTCTCCTTTTATTTAGTCTGTGATTTTGTTGTTGATTTTCTCCCTGCCCATTGTTTACATCAGTTTTTAATTTTTTGTATTTTCCATGTGACCTCCTCCACTTTCCTTTCAACCAATCATGTGCGTGCGTATCATGTGACTTTGTCATGTGGCTTGCATGGTGCTGATGATGTCGTCCACGCTGGTGAACAGAAGGTAAAACTCTTTGTTCTGATTAGTGAAATAAATCTGGAACCACAGCTGGCACCTAGGGCTTACTGATTCCCTCTTGTCACAGATTTTCTAAACAATTTCAGAGATTTGAAAGATTTTCTCAGGTTCTCAATTCACATCCAGAATACACCATTCCTTGCAACCTTGACATGGCAAATTGATAACATGACAGCCTTTAGTTTAATATTTTGCTTCAAGAAATTTGATGATATCAGCTGCTCTCTATAGTAAGACCATGTTAGCCACAACACAATTTTCAATCTTGAATTTTTACTAGAGTTAATCAGACTTATTCCCCCAGAAACATGCTTTGTAAATTAGTCTTATAGCATTGCTATTTAACATTATATCCAGTAGTTTTATAAACTACACTTGAGCCACAGTCCTCTGAAAATATTTGCAACCTTAAAATGCTACAGAGAGAAATACATAGCTATTGCAATGGTTGTATATGTCCAGAACCAATAAGAGTGCTTCATCATATCCATGCAAATTGAGAACTTTCTGAAATAAGAATTTGGATTAGAGCAGTTCAGCTGTGATTACTGAGGTGTCACTTTTTTAGAGTGGCCCTTCCCCAGGCAGAAGGAACAAATCAAGCAAAAGTCACTTGGCAGTTGCCATGACTGGAAGTCTCAGAGTAATCATGAAGCACATGATTGACCCTTGCAGCAAAGGAAATAAAATTATAGCCTAATTAAGTACATAGCACTGACAAAATAATTAGTTAATACTGTGCCTGTCACAACCTTGTTAAAACATTTCTCACTTACCAGAAAGAGAGAAAAAGGAAGCCTTTGCTTGTGGCTTCCCGCACTAAATTGAATACCTACTCAGAACCTGCCCTGGGAGTCAAATGCATTCCATTCTCTCCTAACTGAAAAGTTTTACTTCACGTCACACCCTGAGACACATACGGGCTGCACTGATCACAGAATCAAAACTAACACCAGTAACTGTCCAGTGGGCCCGTGCATGCAAGGGGTTCCCCATTGATCTCACGTCTCTGAGGACTGATTGGGCGACACGGTCAAAACCGTCAACAGCTTGTCTTGCATGTTCTTTGTCCCTAGTCTGTTCTGTGTCATGCTCCCACGTGTCTCAGCCCAGTGTATGTTCCCTCACCTTCACTCTCCATTTACCATCTTGGGGACTCATGCCTTGTGCGTATGGCAGCTTTGCTCTCATTTAGTCCCATTTACAGCCAGAGCCCTGGATTTAACGTAGGCACCATCCTCGTTTCTAAAATATATCTTGTCTGATATTTACATTGTATGAAATAAAGTGGGACCATCCCTAAAACAAAAGGACATTTGGTATAGTCCACAATAATAGATTTGAACTAACTTTAAAAACTATCTTGATGTCAGTCATAGGGCAAAGAACAGTGAGAGTCTAAGGTTTTCTGAAACTTTCTACACAACATATTATAATTGTAGTGTTTCCTTATATTGGCCACCAGCAGGAGCAGACTTCTTTCAGACTGGTGTTGACTACTCAGTAGCTTATGTTCCAGAAAAATGTCTGGATCTTCCCCATGAAATACTAAGTGTGAGCAGATGTTGGGGATTTGAAACTCATTCGTTTATTTTTTAAAATGACTTAGGTCATTTTTGTGCAGAGATGTGATTCAAAATGAAACAAAGCACAATGTTAACAAGGTAGAAACTAATCCACTTCTCTGAAGAAAGGAGTTTCCTAGACATTTAAAAGTGGCCAGAATGGTTGGAGGTGTTTCCTGTGGTTGCCCTAGAAACTCACCTCAGCTGTGATCTTGACTATCAGCAAAAATTGTGGCCAGTAAAAACACTTACTGACAGCCTTATACCAAAACTATGGTTACTCCTCATCAAACAGTGTTCCCATTCATGACAGCTGCTCTCCCACTATCTACAAAGGGCAGGCTGAGGACTTGTTATTCAGGTGAGCTGCCAGAAGCAGAAAATGGCCTTTAATACCAAAATCTAAGGGGATGGAGAGGTCACAGCAGATAAAATTTACAGGGGAGAGATATAAAGCTTAGTTAAAGACAATTACTGTGTCCTTTTCCTGAGCACTAGTAAGAACTTCGGCTGCACTGGACCTGAATCCAAAAGGTTTGCATGAGCTGTGAGTCCTCTTATCGATGAATCATCTACCCAATGATTAATGGAATCCAGTGTTCCCTGGCCATCCTCTGTCCACTCTTCACCCCAGATTTCCTGAGGCTCACTTACCAGATGCTAGATATTCCATCCACCTTAAATTCAGCTGCATAGTGTTTACTGAGTCCAGCAGCCCTGAAAGGAGAAGGAGCGGGGTGAGAATGGGAACTGAGCATCATCCTCCATGGTACTTGGCTCCAGAGCCTACAGAGCTTCACGTGTAGAGGCCCACGATACACTGAGATACCTGTGCTGGGATGGCAGGACTGACTTTGCTGTGGGGAATTATAATACCCCTCCACACCAAAGCTGATTTCTAACATAGCCTTGTATAACTACAGGGCTTCCGATGACTCCACAGAACCATGCTTTGGTGCACCAGCTGTTGAAGATTCTGTAAATGGGACTCTCCCACCTCTCTACCAGCACGTGTGTGATGAGAAATCCACTGCACTGTCATAATGCTGCATGTCTGAGCATGGCTTCCTCCCCACCCATTCATAATGATCTTTTTTTTCTTTAGCTACTGACACTGACTTGTACTAGGAAGTGCTGATTCTGATGAACTAAACTCTTTAACATCCAGTCTTCCTTCTTAGATTGAAAGCATCACTAACCACCCCTTCCACACCCTCCTTTATTTTTTACAGCTGTGTGTCTGGATTACCATGATCTCTGACAGGTCGACAAAGACTTTTCACCAGGGTCTCTGCTTTAATTGCTTTTATTTCTAAGGATTTCCCACACTGGAGGCTCCCAGGGTAGAAAGTTAGCGGGAAGGGTCTGAAGAGGGAAATAGTGATGTGTATCAGCCTGAAATCTGTGGGCATTTGCTGAGGGCTGTTGCTGGCTCTGGAAACAGCCAGGTCCCCCAGGGTTCCAAGAATGAGGGTGGAAATATCTCAGGGGCCACTTTCTTTTTCATAACCAATCTAATGTCCATGAAATAGTGTTGAAGATGTGAACCAGCTCCCTTTGTGGCCGTGGAGGCAGGAGCCTAGTTAATTGTTGGTGATGGTTATTTCTGTCCCATCTTCCTCAGCCTGGATCAACCCCATACCACAAGCCATACTTTCACGGTCATATCTTCTTTTTAGGATGATGAAACAAGGATAATTGATCAATTAATCCATTGGTGTTTTCATGACACCCACAAGGAGGGAATCAGTATTTTCTGTGGTTCAGTCTGTCAGAGCTCATTTGATGCTATTTAATTTGTACTTCATGCTGCCATTTGCCACCGTACTGCCAACACAGCTTCATAATTCCTAAGAAAACTACTGCTTAAACGGGTGTATGGACCAGGTGCCTGAGGGAGCTTGGCCTCAGAGAGCTAAGTATCCTTCCTCTGCAAAATCTGGGCAGTGTACCCACTCAGTTTGTATCCCGATATTCCCTGGACCCAGAAATTAGCGTGGAAAAGAGTCAGGTCACTAGCATAATAAGTACATCCTCAACTCAGGAAAAGAAAAAGATTCTAGAGGCCTGATTTCAGGGGGATTAAGGCCAAAGGCAAATTGACACCCATCCTTAACACTGTCAGGTTCTTTGGGACTCTCAGAAAGTCAGGCAGGCTACCAAAAGAGGCATTGGGGAAAATTAGAAGGATCTACGAATGTATGCAACATAAATCACATTAGATGCTTTTGTTTGACATCTACAGATGAGTGCTCTGTTCCAGGAAGGAGAATTAGTTGTCTAATAATTTTAATTCCAGATTCCCTAAGGCAATTTGCTGAACCCCTAAGGACCTGTCAATAACTTCCTGATGGAATTGTAATGTTTCTGATTGGAAAATGAAAGCGGCTTCATATCTGAATGACTAAGTCATACATTTGGAACTTTTTAAAAGCATATAATATAAAGGTATACACAGACTTCAAACTGTTTGGACGAAATAACCAACCAAAGGAGACAGGAGTTAGGATAAACAAAATGAATAATATTTTTAATAACAATGCTATTTGTTAGGAAAAGTAAAATAATTTAATGCGAGGTCTGTGTTCATTAGTAGTTTATATCCAGACCCCAGAATTATTTGTGGATTCCTGAGAGAAGAAGCAAGGTAGATATGCAGACAACAGAGATGGAGACTTTTGTGGGTGATGGCTGTTTCACACCTCAGTATTTCCTGCAGAATATACAACTGTTGGTGCTTGGACTTCTTTAAGTGAGAAGTAGAAAACGTTTTCTTCTAAAATTCACAAATACTTTGTAATGTCCTGGACTTGCTATCATTTTTGTCTTGGCATTCATATTTCCAGCAGTAGTTTCTAACCCCTGGAGCTCCTGCTGACAAGAGGAAGGGCACGAAGCTGACTGAGAGTTAAGGGCACAGAAATTCCATAATTACAAAGGAAGAACCTACAAATCTGCGTGGCCAGAAATACACGTTTCAATTATAGATTCTAAGGAGGAATTTCATAGACCCTACCTATAATGCATCTGAAGTACATAGATTGGTTTTTCCTTTCCTTTTCTTTTCCTTTGTTTTTATTCATGATTTACATTCTGCTAGAAAAAATACCAGAACTGCTCAATATTTCTTATTTATTATTGACAAGGTTTATTTTTAAGGCACTGCTGCTTTCATCTTTACATAAAATATTTTGGGGGAAAAATTTGAGTCATAGCTGAAGCTAAACTCAAAGGGTATAATTAACCCCAGGGGTCTTCTTGGAGCAACCTGCCTTTTGCTGCTGAATAGCAAACCAGCATTTACAAATAATTACAATATTGGTTTTGCTGAAATTGCTCATAACGATTTCAATCACAGCAGCCACCCCAGAACCTTGGGACCCTCTAAATCATTTCCTCTGCTAATGTATTCAATTAAGCAGTGAGTCTCCTGCTTACTGAGGCCTTGTTTTCTCTATAAAAGCCCATTCCTCATCAAGCATGGCTTTGTGCAGAGTGCTTAGAAACATTTCTTTAACTTCACTTCTAATCTTTAAGAAAAATAACCAACAATAAACACTTGAAGATGAACAAGACAATTAATTAAATAATTCCTCCTTCCAACCCTGAACATACTTACAAATTATAAAGCCACAAGTTGATCAAATCTCTATGATTTTAGTTGAAAATGATATTCTTATAGAAGTACCGTAATAGGAAAGATATTTCTATCCAAGGATCTCAGTAATTTTTTAAAATTACAATAACTTAAGTGTTTTCATCTAGCCTGCAAAAGCATATCTCACTCTCTTTTGAGACTTCATTGACTGACAGACTAGCTGGTTGGTACCCAGTAGGCATTCGATAAATATTTTTGATTAAATCATAAAGCACTCAAAATGATATACTTACACATTATATGGTATGTTGAGATATGATATTGTATGAGAAATAATATCAGAGTAACATGGTGGTCATTCAGATAAGATAACAAATTCTAGTGTTCTAACTGTGGTAAATGTTGGAACTATGTTAAAACTATGGTACAATTTTTAGGGTTAGTTTGGAGTGATTCCGCTTATATTTTCTCTGAAACAAATCCAAAAGTAAGCGTATCTTCAACAGGGCTAGTGAGTCCCATAAAGATTGCTTGGAGAGATTTTTGTTCATATGGCTTTAAAGAGACTTAGGAGTCTCTTTTCAAATGTAGGACTTCTTAAGAAAATTTTTCAAAATTGTAATGCAGAACACAGTTTTTCCCTTAGATATATGGAATTGCTGATCTTAGTGCATCTCCCTGAAATTGGCTGAAGGTCATACACTGTGTCTTCTGAATGCCATAGTATCATGGAAATAGCCGAGGTGTACTTGATCCCCTCTAGCACAGTGACTGTCACTATGCTGCCGTGATGGCAGACCTAGAGGGAACCCCAGAGAACATTGGATCCAGCATGCATATTTTGCAGATGTACAGACTAAGGGATGTGGCTATGGTATTAGACATCCCACAAAGCAGAATTTAAAGAGGATGTTTCTTGTTACTGATCCAGCCTTGGAAACCTATACACTGCTCCATTCGGAGAGAAAACAGTAAGGAGGATGAGCAAAGCAGGTCCAGTAACTTCTTTCCATATATCCCTAAAAAGACTGGGAGAAGTATGTGTTCCTAGTCTGGTGGATGTGTTGGCAGGGCCACCCACACAGAGTAATAAAAATCCCTTCCTTCCTAAGACAAATAGACCATGCAGTACACAGTTGACATTGTGATTCTCAGTGAAGAAAGTTATAATGATTAATATCCATTTCCCTTTAATGCTAGGGTCACCAACCATTTCAATTCGCCTGGGACTGAGTGGTTTTGCAGGACATTGAGCTTCTGATGCTAAAATCTAAAATATTCCAGACTCACTGGGAAGAGTCAGTCACCCTAATTCAGACAGCATAGAATTTATCAAATGTTATTGTACCTTGTTCTTCCACTCATTCAGCAATGCTGAATTTATGTAGAGCTCATACCCTGCTCTGAAACCTAGCAAATTGAGTTACTCTTCAGCACTGGACATTCATAGTAATGTAGACATCACTAAGTATTGTGCAAGACTCAGAAAAGCTAAATACCTGACATATCAAAAGTAATTTCTAAATATTTTCCACTGAGTAGTTGGAGTAAGTGGCTAGGTAATAGTCTAAAGGCAGGACAAGACCTTGCCTGATATCCATTTATCATTGTATTGTGGGGTTTTTCTTAAATTACTGGTTGAAGAAAACAAATAATAAAATATCCTTCAGGCATCAAAACTGTAGATTCTCCCTGCTGCAGTGTGTACGTGTCCCCATGACTACCATTTCTCAAACCTAAATGTGCTCACAGATTACCAAGTGAACTTGTCACAGAAAGAGTCTGTATTTGATCTTACAAGTTCATCTCAACGATTCATCCAGAGACATGATTCATGGTCCAGTGTACCCAGTAGTTCTTCTTCAAGAAAAAATTCTCAGGGGAGTAACAGAAGCCTAGACACGATTACTCTATCAGGAGATGAAAGAGATTTTGGGAGATTGAATGTGAAATTGTTTTATAATTCTTCAGTAGAGCAGATCTGGATCACAGTTTTACAGTGCAGAGATTTAAATTGGCCCTCTACTTATGGAGACACTCCCACTATTTCCATAAAAGGAATACTAACATTACCCAAACCAGTGCATTTCAAATCTTCACCAAAGGAAGGTTCCAATGCTATTGAATTTATGGAAACTTTTGTATTTGCTATTAAACTGCAACATCTACAAACTGTAAGGCTTGTATTTAAGATTCAAACCCAGACTCCCAAGAAGAAAACCATTGGAGCATGCTCTCTATCACTTAGAACTCTTAGCACACAGGAAATGGATTACTCTTTGGATATAATACCATCTTCAAAAATTTCTGT